GATCTTGGTTGTTCCTAAAACTTCTTGTGTAAGTAAAAGCCTTAAATCACTTTCTTTTTGTTACTTTTCTCTTTCCTCCCATTGCTTTTTTTTATTTTTTTCTTAAGGCTTTGCTTGTTGTTGTTGTTTTTTTTTAAATACTTTCCTCTTATGGAATATTCAATACATTTTTTTTATTATGTAATTTGCGTAAAACTCCCTTATTTTGATATTTTTTGTAAAATATAATAGTACTTTCAAAATTGTGCAGCAATTGAAAACAATAATTTACCCTATTAAGGAAATAAAGACAACAAACCTTTATCCTTAAGCCTTGGGCTAAAGTTTTTTGAAATCCTTGCCACTACTACAGTTTGTTACCATAAGGATGAACACTAGAATTGTCTGAAGGTTTCCAGAAGCCAACATAAGGTCAGAATTCGTTGAATTTTTTTGTAAAAGTGGGACCATTGAGCCTCTTTAAAAGTTCAAACTTTAGGGAGTTCTATACAAATATCTTTATTTATTTATTTATTTTTAAAAACTTGCTGACTTCACTCTTCGATGTGTTTCAGAGATCTCCTGTAGTTGGAATATTAACAAGACATGATTTCATGCCTGAGCATATATTTGGGTTGCATCCATTTCTAAGGAATAGCAGATGGAAGAAGATAAGATTTCAAGGGTCGCCCTTAATTAGAAGTTTTATGTGTTTTCTGCTGGGATCTACTTATGCAACAAGCAATTCAATTAGTTCTGAGTTCTAAAATGTATATTATGTTTGTCTGGTTCAATGAGGAGGAAGATTATGCCTGTGCGATAATTTTTAGTATTTGTTGTATATTAAACATTTTCTGAAGCAGAGACAAATTGTTGTTGTATTATATTTTATGACATTCCAGTTGTAAATTATCATTGTTATTATTTTTGTTTATAACATTGCTCTTTTTTTCCCAACATTATATGTTGTTTTAGTTCAGAAATTCATGGCAATAGCTTGAAGATGCTACAATATAGGGGCAAAAATTGGGAAAAAAATGTATATTTAAACATATAAGAGATTAAAAAACAAAAGGGAAATTGCTTGAAACTTAATTAGTATGGTATTATCTTTTATATGGGTTGGAATTGTAACGGCCCGTTTGGTTTACCTTGAAGGTCCTTTCTTGCATTATTATTATGTTTGATGCTGAGGAAAAGCAACTCTGATTTGATCAAATGTGTTTTACATTCACTAATAATTATGACTTTTTCATCATTTTAATTTTATAAGATGGTACTGAGGTCTACAATGCTTTAAGGCCCATAAAGTTGGCCTGTACAAGTGAAGCATAAAATTAAGTGTTTTTGAGATAAGAATGCTCAGGTGGATGAGTGGATTTACACTGAGACAAAATATGAAATGAATATATCCTTCAAATGAAGTGGATTTACACAAGATCAGAGAGTAGCTCCAGACAAGATTTGATGACCCATATAGGATATTAGATGGTTTAGATTTGAATTAGGTTAAGAAAAGTAGATGTAGACCTAAAAAGATTTGGGCATGTTGTATGAAAATGATCTTAATTTATTTGAATTAAATGAAAAATATGACACTCAATAAGACACAATGGAGAAATAGAATTCATGTGCCCGACCCCATGTGGTGGAATAAAGGCTTTTTTTGTTGGTGTTGTTTTTTTTTTTTTTTTGCATCAATTTTTATTTTCTGCATCCTAACAACTACTTTCAGGAAAGGTATTGGCCACCGGTTACTTCTTGCTGGAGCTATTTCCATATTCAAATCCTCCTTACCATTTGGACTACCATGGTTTGCATCTTGCCAACCTTGTCCTGATGCAACACCGCAAAGCTGCCAAAAACTAAGCAAAACAAACAACTTCAGGAATTTCCACTGTCCCACCAACTACTATAATGATCTAGCTAGCCTGTTCTTGATCACCAACGATGACAGCATTAGAAACTTGTACAGTTCTGGTACTCAAAAGCTTTTTAATCAGTCCTCAATCATATTATGGTTTGTATATCGTTTGTTACCTCTTACATTCTTGGTATCATAAGTTACGGAGTTGTTGCTCCGTTCGGCCTCTTTGTTCCTGTTATCTTGACAGGCGCGATCTATGGGCGCTGTATAGGGATGTTAATGGGCTCTCGATCATCCTTAGATCATGGTCTCTATGCCGTTCTTGGATCTGCTTCTTTTCTCGGTGGAACAATGAGGATGACTGTTTCAGTCTGTGTCATAATCTTGGAATTAACTAATAATCTCCTATTGCTTCCTCTTGTTATGCTGGTGCTTCTCATATCTAAAACAGTGGCTGATTCTTTCAATGGCAACATCTATGATCTTATCCTTATACTGAAGGGGCTTCCTTATCTTGATGGACATGCTGAGCCATATATGAGGCAGCTGACAGTTAGTAATGTCGTTATGGGTCCTATACAAATCTTTAATGGTGTTGAGAAAGTCGGCAATATTGTTCATGTGCTCAAGACAACTGGACATCATGGTTTTCCTGTTATTGATGGGCCTCCAGTTTCCACTGCACCTGTTCTTTTTGGCTTAGTTCTTAGATCACATCTTCTTATTTTGCTGAAGAATAAAATTTTCTTACCAACTTGTATGCGGGCTCGTGTTGATATCACAAAAGAATACTCGAGCGATGATTTTGCGAAGAACAGCTCTGGCAAAGGTGATAGAATTGAAGATATAGTGCTCACTCAAGAACAAATGGAAATGTATATAGATCTTCACCCTTTCACAAATACTTCACCATACACTGTAGTGGAAACAATGTCATTGGCGAAAGCTTTAATCCTGTTCCGGGAGATTGGCTTGAGGCATCTATTGGTTGTTCCTAAAACTTCTTGTGTAAGTAAAAGCCTTAAATCACTTTCTTTTTGTTACTTTTCTCTTTCCTCCCATTGCTTTTTTTTATTTTTTTCTTAAGGCTTTGCTTGTTGTTGTTGTTTTTTTTAAATACTTTCCTCTTATGGAATATTCAATACATTTTTTTTATTATGTAATTTGCGTAAAACTCCCTTATTTTGATATTTTTTGTAAAATATAATAGTACTTTCAAAATTGTGCAGCAATTGAAAACAATAATTTACCCTATTAAGGAAATAAAGACAACAAACCTTTATCCTTAAGCCTTGGGCTAAAGTTTTTTGAAATCCTTGCCACTACTACAGTTTGTTACCATAAGGATGAACACTAGAATTGTCTGAAGGTTTCCAGAAGCCAACATAAGGTCAGAATTCGTTGAATTTTTTTGTAAAAGTGGGACCATTGAGCTTCTTTAAAAGTTCAAACTTTAGGGAGTTCTATACAAATATCTTTATTTATTTATTTATTTTTAAAAACTTGCTGACTTCACTCTTCGATGTGTTTCAGAGATCTCCTGTAGTTGGAATATTAACAAGACATGATTTCATGCCTGAGCATATATTTGGGTTGCATCCATTTCTAAGGAATAGCAGATGGAAGAAGATAAGATTACAAGGGTCGCCCTTAATTAGAAGTTTTATGTGTTTTCTGCTGGGATCTACTTATGCAACAAGCAATTCAATTAGTTCTGAGTTCTAAAATGTATATTATGTTTGTCTGGTTCAATGAGGAGGAAGATTATGCCTGTGCGATAATTTTTAGTATTTGTTGTATATTAAACATTTTCTGAAGCAGAGACAAATTGTTGTTGTATTATATTTTATGACATTCCAGTTGTAAATTATCATTGTTATTATTTTTGTTTATAACATTGCTCTTTTTTTCCCAACATTATATGTTGTTTTAGTTCAGAAATTCATGGCAATAGCTTGAAGATGCTACAATATAGGGGCAAAAATTGGGAAAAAAATGTATATTTAAACATATAAGAGATTAAAAAACAAAAGGGAAATTGCTTGAAACTTAATTAGTATGGTATTATCTTTTATATGGGTTGGAATTGTAACGGCCCGTTTGGTTTACCTTGAAGGTCCTTTCTTGCATTATTATTATGTTTGATGCTGAGGAAAAGCAACTCTGATTTGATCAAATGTGTTTTACATTCACTAATAATTATGACTTTTTCATCATTTTAATTTTATAAGATGGTACTGAGGTCTACAATGCTTTAAGGCCCATAAAGTTGGCCTGTACAAGTGAAGCATAAAATTAAGTGTTGTTGAGATGAGAATGCTCAGGTGGATGAGTGAATTTACACTGAGACAAAATATGAAATGAATATATCCTTCAAATGTTTGGAGTAGCTCCAATGGCAGACAAGATTAGAGAGTAGCTCTAGACAAGATTTGATGACCCTGTTAGAAGATTACATGTTTTAGATTTGACTTATGTTAAGAAAAGTAAATGTAGACCTAAAAAGATTTGGGCATTTTGTATGAAAATGATCTTAATTTATTTGAATTAAATGAAAATATGAGGCTCAATAAGACAACAGAAAAAGAATTCATGTACCCTACCCCACATGGTGGAATAAAAGCTACTTGTTGTTGGTGTTGTTTTTGCTGCATCATTTTTATTTTCTGCATCCTAACGATCACTTTCAGAAAAGGCGTTGGCCACCGGTTACTTCTTGCTGGAGCTATTTCCATATTCAAATCCTCCTTACCATTTGGACTACCATGGTTTGCATCTTGCCAACCTTGTCCTGATGCAACACCGCAAAGCTGCCAAAAACTAAGCAAAACAAACAACTTCAGGAATTTCCACTGTCCCACCAACTACTATAATGATCTAGCTAGCCTGTTCTTGATCACCAACGATGACAGCATTAGAAACTTGTACAGTTCTGGTACTCAAAAGCTTTTTAATCAGTCCTCAATCATATTATGGTTTGTTACCTCTTACTTTCTTGGTATCATAAGTTACGGAGTTGCTCCGGTCGGCCTCTTTGTTCCTGTTATCTTGACAGGCGCGATCTATGGACGCTGATAGGGATGTTAATGGGCTCTCGATCATCCTTAGATCATGGTCTCTATGCCGTTCTTGGATCTGCTTCTTTTCTCGGGTGGAACAATGAGGATGACTTTCAGTCTGTCATAATCTTGGAATTAACTAATAATCTCTTGTTGCCTCCTCTTGTTATACTGGTGCTTCTCATATCTAAAACAGTGGCTGATTTTGACAGTTAGTGATGTCGTTATGGGCCCTATACAAATCTTTAATGGTGTTGAGAAAGTAGGCAATATTGTTCATGTGCTTAAGACAACTGGACATCATGGTTTTCCTGTTATTGATGGGCCTCCAGTTTCCACTGCACCTGTTCTTTTTGGCTTAGTTCTTAGATCACATCTTCTTATTTTGCTGAAGAATAAAATTTTCTTACCAACTTGTATGCGGGCTCGTGTTGATATCACAAAAGAATACTCGAGCGATGATTTTGCGAAGAACGACTCTGGCAAAAGTGATAGAATTGAAGATATAGTGCTCACTGAAGAACAAATGGAAATGTATATAGATCTTTACCCTTTCACAAATACTTCATCATGCACTGTAGTGGAAACAATGTCTTTGGCTAAAGCTTTAATCCTGTTCCGGGAGATTGGTCTGAGTCATCTATTGGTAGTTCCTAAACTTCTTGTGCAAGTAAAAAACTTAAATCATATTCTTTTTGTTACTTTTCTCTTTCCTCCCATTGCTTTTTTAATTTTTTTCTGTTTTTTTTTTATTACTTTCCTCTTATGGAATATTCAATACATTTTTTTACTGTGTAATTTGCGTAAAACTCCCTTATTTTTGTAAAATATAATAGTACTTTCAAAATTGTGCAGCAATTGAAAACAATAATTCACCCTATCAAGGAAAGAAAGACAACTAACCTTTAGCCTTAAGCCTTGAGCTAAAGTTTTCTAAAATCCTTGCCGCTACTACAGTTTGTTACCATAAGGATGAACAGTAGAATTGTACTGGAGGTTTCCAAAAGCCAACATAAGGTCAGAATTTGTTGACTTTTTGTTTTTTTGTAAAAATGGGACCATTGAACTTCTGTAAAATTTCACACTTTAGGGAATTCTATAAAAATATCTTCTTTTTTTTTTAATTTAAAGACTTGTGCTTATTTCACTCTTCGAGATCTCTTGTAGTTGGCATATTAACAAGACATGATTTCATGCCTAAGCATATATTCCGGTTGCAACCATTTCTAAGGAATAGTAGATGGAAGAAGATAAGATTTCAAGGGTCGCTTTTAATTAAAAGTTTTGTGTTTTATGTTGGGATCTACATATGCAACAAACAATTTAATTAGTTCTGAATTCTAAAATGTATATTTTGTTTGTCTGGTTCAATGAGTGATAATTTTTAATATTTGTTGTATATTAAACATTTTCTGAAGCAGAGACAAATTATTGTTGTAGTATATATTATGGCATTTCAGTTGTAAAATATATTGTTATTATTTTGGTTTATATCAGCGCTCTTTTTTTCCCCCAACATTATATGTTGTTTTAGTTCAGAAATTCATAGTAATAGCTTGAAAATGCTACAATATAAGGGCAAAAATTGGGGGAAAAATGTATATTTAAACATATATGAGATTAAAAAACTAAAGGGAAATTGCTTGAAATTTAAGTAGTATGGTATCATCTTTTATTTGGGTTGGAATTGTAATGGCCCGTTTGGGTTACCTAAGGGTAATGAAGCGAGGAACTGAAAGAGGAAGTGAAAGTCAAGAAATCGAATGGAGAAACCGAACTGGAGGGAAATGAAGCAAGAAGTCGTGAATTTGAAACGAGGGGATCATAAGCCTATGCGACGAGTTGAACCTATAAAATGACGGATCAAAGCGAGATTCAACTACCTATGAGCCGAGTAGCACGGGAGACGTTGAGCGTAGTGTTAGTGTTGAGAGGGGGAGTACGACGAGGGAGAAAGTGATAATGCAGCAGGTTTCAGCTATGCGCTACTGTGTCGAGTCGAGTCGAAGAGGAAGACGAAGGTGGAACTTCTTTGCATGCGTAAGACTTCGATCATGCCCTGGTCGAGCATCGAAGAAGAGAAAAGGAGGGTGAAAGAGAAACGAGTTTTATGTGGGAAGGTAGAAGGCGGGATAAAATGAGCCCAGGAGAAGGGAGAAAAATTTTTCGTAGGAAGGAACGAATCGCGTTTGCGCGTGTATAAGGCTTGACCGAAAGAAATTTTTTAAGTTTAATAATATTTAATAAGAATTATATTAATATATAATATGCATATGTATATAATGTATGTATATCTATACATATGTAGGTAGATATGTATATATGCATGTGTATATTTATGTGTGTGTGTGTGTAAAATTAGGATTACATAAAATAAATATGAAAAATTAATAGTTTACTAAAAAAAATAAATTAATTAATTTTTCTATCATAATTATATTAGGCTTTCACTTTTAGTGTAAAATCTTACTGAATTGCGCATATTGAGATGAGCACTTGTATTTTTAATCTATTATAATATTTTGGTTCTTCTCGATTTTTATTCATTAGTAGATAATGATATTTGTACAAATTTTATTTTGATTTATATATTTTTATTTATTAGTCACATTATTAGAATTTATAGGTATTAAATATGATGTATTGGTGTATGTTATATAAAGTATATTGAATTGAATGGGATGAGCACTTGAATGATACATTTATGTTAACTGTTTGTATGTGCATAATTGACTATGATAGGTCACCCATTGATGGTACTGGCGGGAGAACACTAATGTACCCGTGCACGTATATAGAAAAAGAAATTAATATTGATATGTCTTAATTAAAACAATTTTGAGATGACACTCCTATGACAGTTGTACAGATATGAATGATATTAATATGCTATTGACACAGTAAGGTTATTTATTTAGCATCAAATATTTAACTAATTTAATAAAAAGCTTAGCTGACATAAATAATATTTTTTTTCCCTTGCATTATTGCAGTTTAGGTGTATAAGTATTCACTAATTTATTTTGGCTTATTGTTATTTTTAAACTAACTTTTCAAGTTAACTTAATTATTAAAAGATGAACGATAGAAGAGAAAACAGTTAAAGAATACATATACCAGTAATGAGGTAATTTTAAATATTTTGTGTTAATTTATATTGATTAAGGGCTCTTTTATTTATAAAATATTATTTTTGGATAATAAATATCAAAAAATTAATTCTCATTGTTTGACCATTTGTTCCCGTCTTAGTTAATTCCAAGCCCCGGGCCAGGTCATGAAGAAAGTGAAATTAGAACACAAATTTTATGATTGATTAATATAATCTAGTTGAAAGGGCCAATATGATAATAATAAGAAAAATTTTATAATTATAAAAAAAATAAAATTAACTTAAAGTAATAATTATTCAGGCATAGTGATACACCCAAAATCATAGAAGAAGAGAATCTGATAGAAAAGAAAAAAGTACAACCTACTATAAATGTGAGCATGAATGTCCTCACCCAAATGATAACGACAATGACTTAGTTGGTTCAGGAGTACAGAACACAACCTATCAGATGTGATATAGTCGCTATAGATAAGTACTTACAGATATTTTAAGATCTTCGTCCACCTCTGTTCAAGGGAACTGAATACCTGATTGAAGCGGAGAACTGACTAATGGTGATGAAGAAGATACTAGATAGCATGACTTGTCCAGATGAAAGAATAGTACCGTTGGCGACATTTGTGTTGGATGGAGAAGCCAAAAGATGGTGGTGTGGGCAGCGTCAGGATAAGTTAGGGGACATACCTAATATGATGATCAGTTGGGAGGAATTTGTGGAACTATTCAAAGAATGCTTTGTTCCTCTA